CGTAGGATTTTACTTTTCGCATTTAAATTTCCGCACTTTTAAATTATAATTGCATGAAAGAATGTATGGCCTAAATTAAAAACAAGCGTAGCTCACCATAATGCATGATCAAAGATAATGGTTAAACTGAAAACAATACACAAATTCACACACCACTCTTAGGGTACGCCTCACTGTTGCCTTGCCTTCGAAACGTGGTCGTCGAGTATAGGACGTTTTAGTAAGTTCTTATGTCCGTTGATCCATATGCCTCAAAACAAGTTGCCTCGGAAAAGTTGCCTCGAATTAAAAAAGGATCAATGGCATAAGGGTAGCTTCTAAGGTGTCCTACTGTTGCTCCGGTGACCACACCGTCCCTAACAAACAAATTGACCCGAACACCTCCAACGGTGGTGCTACCTATCTCTCAATGGTGGGATGGCACTATCTTAAGGACATTTACACAGCCTAATTCCTTAGAGTATGTAGGTTTCTCTTAAGTACTTGCTCTTTCAAAACAAACAAAAATACTTTTCACACCTCACACTTTCTAAAAGTTTTCAAACAAATTTTGCATACACTCTTGAGGACAGATACAAGAGTTACTTAGAAATCTTTCAAACGAAACTTTTTCAAAACCCACACACACTTGAAAAGCAAACAAATTTTGAAAACATAAGAGCAAGTACCTAAGAGCCCATGGATAACCATGGATAGAAAGGGTGCTAACACCTTCCCTTTCTATAAATCTACCTCCCGAACCGAGAAACATTCTCGAATAAGGAATTTTGTTGTGCTTTTGTCCTGTCCATGTTGGAGAAAATAAAAGACAGTGGCGACTCTTGCTTCCGCGACATTTCGCGAACCAGCGTTAAATAGTCAGTTCCAGATCCACCGATCACACTGTTCAACATCCATCTCACTAAAATAAACAGTAGAAGGATAAGGCGACTTGTTATAAGAAACCTGTATGATGTTATGATGAATGAAGATGTAATATGCAAATGATTTCAAGGAAATTTAGAGATTTAAACTTGTTCAAACCAAAAAAAGGAACACACGTCATATTAAATAAAACAAAGTTTGAATACATCATGAAGCAATGTAGGCATTCAGGTTTTTCTCTTCATGAAGCAGTTTGGTGAGCTCCAGAACCTTCTTCTCACTGGTGTAATATTGGGTTTCAAAGGTGTCTCGCTCTTCCTTCAACTGAACCCAAGCTTTCTGTAGGTCTTCGAGAGAGGTAGGCATGTCAGGATGAAGAACGGTGTATGGGACGTCTCCTTCAATAACAGGCTCAATAATGACAGGAAGGATGGAAGGGTAAGGCATCAAGAGACTCTGGGCACGAGCCCGTACCCACCTAAGGTAAGGCTCGAGAGGGATAGAGTTTTTATGTCCCAAAGTCCTACTGTCCACCTTGTTTACCATTCCCTAAGCACGTGTAAACCTCTGGCGGTAACCTTGGTCTTCTTTGTCGTAGTCGAACACCAGACCTTGGATGAGCATCTCATGAGGGTCGTCTCTTCGGGCATACCCAAACTGCCAAAGATCTAAGCATGGGTTGTAGGTGATACCTCCCCTAATACCAAGCAGAGGAACATTAGGGAACTCCCCACAGCGGTCAATGATAGATATATCTTCCAAGGATCTCAAGCACCAACGGATATCAGAGTGGGTGAGAGACATCAATCTTTGAGACCAAGTAAGTCTTTGCTCGTTCTTCAATACTGATTGAGGCAGGTGTGAAGTGAACTACTTAGCGAGTAGGGGGATATAACACAAAAGGGTGCCTCTTTTCTTCATGATTCGGGTATGAAGGCAATGCAAGATGTCTCCTAGTAAGGTAGGTATAGGATTGCGAGAGAAAAAAACTTTGATGGCATTAACGTCTATGAATTGGTCCGAATTGAGAAACAGAACCAAACCATAAATGAGGAGAGCTAGTACGTCTTCGAAAGCTTGGAAATCCTTGTCATCCCAGAATGAATGAGCTTTTTCCAATAGAAACTTATCTAGAAAGCCTTTAACACCACTTCTTGTCTCCCAATTGGCTATGACGTCGGCCCTCTTCACATGTAAAGCTTAGGCGATGACTTTAGGTTTTGGAATCCCTTATAGACCGGTGAACGGTATCTGATTAAGCACGGGCACCCCTGAGAGTAGAGAGAACTCTTCCAGTGTAGGTACCAGTTGATAGTCCGGGAAAGTGAAACAATGATGTACGGGATCAATGAATCGGAATAGTACACATATTATCTCTTCTTGGAAGTTGGATGTAGCCAAATTGAGGAGTCGACCATATTTCTTGGTAAAAGGAGAATCCCCGGGCACTCTTGAGGCTAGCTCTTGAAGTTGAGGATGTGCTTTTACAAAGCTGATTCGGGTGATGTTTCTTCGGAGAGAATTCATGTCCTACAAAACAAAAACAAAGATAAATTTCTAAATCCTTGAAATGGTTAGTGAGCATGCATATGATGTTGATGATGTTTATGATGTCTATGTACAAGAAAATATATACACACAACAAACAAGTCCCTATGTTTTAGGCTTGCATGAGTTTTGTAGGTAAGTACCCTCTTGAAATTTAGTTGGCTCAACCTGTCCTAGCAATAATGATCGGGTTTTAAAGGATATCAATATCACCGACCTTTCTCTTAGGCATTGTCTCAGCACAACAATCTTTTCTTGCGGCCGAGATATCCCAAAAGTCTAGCCTCAATGAGTGTAGTATCGAGTATCAACCAATTTTCAGCTCTACACCGAAACCGGCTACCTCACTCCGTCCTAATGGCCAAGTTTGTTCAATTAGGGTTCTAAGGTCAATTAGTGCTTCATGACGCCACTCAGCGGCCATGTATTCTCCTCGATTCACCACGAGGGATATTGGTATCACAAATGTTTCACACTAACATAGCCATTGTTTCAACCATATCGTTCTACGTCGTACAGTCTCCACAATCTATTGCTATTTACTTAAAAAGGTGTCCCAGATTCGGGTGGAGGATCAAAGCAAGCCCAATACAAAGAACTAAATATAAAGCACATAAATCAAATAATGAAAGCGAGTAAAGGTGATCTAACCCTAAGGTAACCCCACTTTTTTAGAATTTTTTTCCCAGCAGAGTCGCCAGTTCAGTGATACGGTGGGAGAACTGACTTGGTGTTTTGTGTTTTGATCTCATTTGTGCGGATAGCAAGAGTCACCACCGACTTTTCTTTTATACAAAAGGAAAGATAAAAAAGCACAGGAAAGACCTTTCGATATTATTTCTCGGGTTCGGGGGGTATATTATGAAAAGGGAAGGTATTAGCACCCTTTTCATCCATGTTTTCCATGGGCTCTTAGTTACTCGTTTAGATCACTTGCTTTTGTTTGATAGTGTGCTTGTGGTGTGGGCTTTGAAAGTGTTTTGAAAAATCTCTTTGTAATGGTTCTCGTTTCTATAAGAACGCGTACAAAGTTTTGCTTCTAAAAGTGGTTCAAAGATGTGTTTGTGGATTGTGTTTCGGAAAGTGTTTTGAAAAGATGTTTTGCAATGGTTCTCGTCTCTATAAGAATGTATACAAAATATTTTGTCTTTTGAAAATGTTTTGAGATGAAAGTGTAGGTGTAAAAATGTTTTTGTCGTGAGCAAGCGAGTAACTAGGAGCGAATCTATCTACTCAAAAGACCTTAAATGTTCTTTTCTTTCTCCTTTAGATGTTTCTATCTTACCATTTATTTGGTAAGAAGTCCCATCGTCGGATGTGAAGGGACGGGCGCGGGTCAATTTTACAGTCATCGAAAGAAACTTATGACACGCTTTAGCAATTTTTGTAAGGGACTGGATCGTTTTACCGGAGGCAACGTCGAGGGTCATCGAGGGACTACGATCTTTTTATCGAAGGGTCATTGCTAAAACGTCCCATATTCGAGGGACATGACTGTATTTCCGAGGTAACGAGCGAGGTTACCCTAGAGGTGCGCGTGTGAAAAAAGTGTTTTTGATTCAAGTTAATTTTGTCTTTTAAAATTAGGTTATCTAGCGCTTGATTTTATGTCTTGCCATGCACGCCTAATTACTATACAGTATAAGGAAAACAGTAAATTGCAGAAATTGAAATTCTACGCTATTACAGAGCTTTCGGGAATGGGGGTACAATTTTTTTTACAAATGGGGATGGATCAATGCGATTAACAGTCAAAAATAGGCAATCAATACAACCAAACCGAATTGAATCAAATAATTATAACCGTCTAGGATAGTCAATTAACAAAGTATCGCAACAAAGATTCTAAGTTACAAAAATAAAGTAATTAAAAGAAATTAAATCAATTGTATACGTCTTTTTGTTTGTTATGTTGTATTTGTGAGAGTATATATAAAAAAAACATATTCTATATACTTTTTGAATTTTATTATATGTAAATTAATTAATAATTTTCTTTTTAAAAAAAGAGTTTATTAAAGAAAGAAAAAGAAATTGATAAAAATTATTCACAAAGTCTAAATCAAACTAATTATAAAAATTGTATATTTTAAGTTTAATTAAATTTTGAGAATTTAAACTAAATATAAACTAAACAAATTGGATAAGTAAGATTAGAAGAAAAATAAAAATAGAAATGCCCAAGGGAGGAGTCGAACTCGGATTTTTTGGGTTCTTATGGATACACCTTGCCAACCGAACTACGCCACTTATTTGCCATATCTACACTTCAATGAAAATAAAAGAGGAAAATGGTAACGGATTGGGCCAACAGGCCCAAAGGGGGCCGACCCGGTTTGGCATAAGAAGGGAAAAGGGTTTGTTGTAACCCTAAGTGGGAATGGGAAGTGCCGCCGGCTTGTAACATAGTGAAGAGGAAAAGTCAAAAAACCAATGAAATTTCTTCCGTTTATCTTAAAAAGATACTATCCTCTTCTACTTGGTTCTCTATCTTTCTCTCTCTGTCTCTCTCCATTTCTTCTTTCTTGTTTCTCTCACCGATTCAACAACAATATTCCAATCTTCCATTTTTCTCAACAATACTCTCTATGCTCACCACCTTCTCTTCGAACAGAGGTTGTACAAGCTATTGCGATGGAAGTAGCAGTGGCAGGTGGCATAGTAGGCTACTATTTAGAACAGAGAGAGAAGGCTAAAGGTTGGCGGACGATGGCATGAGATTTGTTACAGTGAATGAGTTACAAAGTGGAAGGCGAGGATTGGAGGAGATGGGTTTGTTTCTCGTGGAAATAGTGCAGAGAGGAATATGTGGCTTGCGACTGTGAAAATGAATAGATGGGTAAGGGCGATGGGTTGATGTGGTGTTTGGTGTTGCGGTAGCTGTGTGTACCGCGAGGAGAAAATTACAGTATCAGGTGGTGTTGTCGAGCTACAGAGGTAGGAATGTTATGGTGTATTCCTGTTGGTGATGGTCGGTTGAAGAAACAAATGGGCGTGAATGGTTGACGGAAGAGAGAATAGAGGATATGGTGGGATAAATATGACGAAGGGAGTATTTTGTTTTTTCACGATTTTTGGATCTGTTTCGATGAATAGAAAATGATAACAATAGTTTCATGGAAAAACAACACCAACTTGTATCTCTAATCTTTAAGTAGTAAAAGTATAGCAACAATTCAAGGAAACACAAAACAACAACATATTTATGAGACAAGAGAGGGAGACTTACCAGATTGGAGCAAGTCCGATGATTCTGACTCCGACAATAAATCGAGAAAACCAGAGGTAAAAAATGCTCCTTAACTTCTTCTCCTTCTTCTGAATAATTCTGAAAATTTTGTTGAAGCTTTGTGATATGGAAATTGCAAGTTGATGATGATGTATTAGGATTTGAAGATACTGAAGGTGCAGTGACGTTAGAGGTTCGGTTAGGGAGCAGAATTTAAGGGTGTTGTGAAGAATATGGTGAAAGGTTTAGCAGAACTGTGATTTTATGTTGTTGCAGAAGGTTGAGGATGAATTTAGAGGTAGGCTGTAATGAGGTTTGGCAGAAGAAGGTTTAAAGAGTTTTTTTTTTCTATGTCTTTCTTTTTTGTCAACGATAATGAAGATGAGTAGGGATACAAATCCTGTTAGGTTTTCTTTTTTTATTAAAAAAAGGTCCCTTTATCTATGTGCAGGGCTGTTCTTTTATGATGAATCGGAATGGATTTTTTTTGGGGGGAAAGTTTGTGAAGTTTTTAACAATTTTGAACATATTTGGCATACTCTTTATTTCTTTTTTTCTGTAGTTCTCATATTGCTGATTTTATGCAATTTGTTGGACATGTTTTGGACAGATTTTAGGCAGATTTGCAGTAAGAAAATAGCAGAATTTTGGCAGCATTTGGGACTGTCATATGCTGTTTTTTTACTGTTTTATGGTATTTCTACAACACTTTTGTTGGGCTTGTTTTGCAATATCTTTGACAGCAAAATACTACAAAATTTGGCTTATTCTTTTGACATAAGAAACAAAACAATTTAATAAATAATAATAATACCAATAACAAAAGTAATAATATTAACAAAAAGAAAATTGTTATGACATTTAAACAATTTATACTAAAAAATCTATAAATGAAAATTATTAGGAACAAATAAATTGAACTAAAAAAACAAAGATGACAATTGTTACTAACAACAAAAGTAAACAAATAAAAAGTGACAGTAAAGAAAATGGTTTTAATTTTTATTTTATTTTAATAACAATGATAATTATAATGATAAAAGATAAGTAACAATAAAAGAATTAAACTAAAAATAAAGTAAAAGAGGTATTAAAATATTTTATACACATGTTAAACTATGTCAAATTAAAACTAACATTAAAAAAATAAAATAATAAAAAAAACATGAAAATGAAATCACATATATTTTTTGGTTTATTTTCCCTTTTTTATAAAAATAAGAAATAAAGAAAGATGACTAAAAAATGCAAAAATACATGATTTAGTAAAGTCAGGCAAAACAAGTTAAATTTCCTTAAACTAACAATGATTTCTAACGTTTTTTTATATTTTTTTCGTGGCTTTTTTCAAACATAATCAGCTCTTGACCAAAAGGGTTGATTTTGGGGTTGTTGTAGTCATTTTCAGTCATATGAACCATTGGTTGAGCAAACTTGTACTGTGAGGTCTGAAAACTGGTTTAAACAACTCTGGGGAGATATGAAGACCAATGAAAATCATTTGAAACCTTGAGGGCTCAATTTTCTTTGAGAAGCGTCAAACCCTAATTGCTGATTGTTTGCCTATGAAGGGAATCTGCTTGATCAACTTTTGAGCCAAATTGAGTGGAAAACGGGAGGGCAAATTTTTAGGTACAATAGTTATGATTGAAACGTCTTCAACATGAACAGGTGCAACAGGAGCACTTTCAAACAAAATCTCTTGGTTGTCTATCAAGTGTTGAATGCATGTCTTCAACAAAGGGCAAACAGTTGTTGAGGATAAGCAAAGATGGCAGTCTTTATTACAGCCCGGGAATACACCAGCTTTCAACAAGTTTATCTTAATGATTGGGAGAGGAGTCAAGAGTTCATCAACTGTGGTAACAAACAAATCTTCTTCGATAGCATTGGTGTTGTGACCATGCCTAGGCATAGGAGCGGAAATGACATTTGGTTTCTCGGGTGCATCAAACTCAATCTCTTTTGCATCTATAGGGTCTTGAATCTTGTTTTTTAGGGCCCAACAGTTGTTAGTGTCATGACCCGGACTTTCGGAATGATATGCGCATTTGGCATTCGGGTGATAATGAGGGGACGCAGTGTTGGGGTTCTTTGGAGCTTCCTTTAAAGTTGCCAAATTAGATTTCAGAAGATGTGGTAAAACCTGGGCTAGAGTCATATTAATTCTAGTGAATTGCCGGAATGGCCTTTCCACCCTCGGTTGGTTACTCCTTGGTTGATCAGATGTAGGCTTTGGAATCATAACGGCCCCTACCATTGGTCGACGCTCAGCTCTCCCTTGGTTCCTTTGTGGGTAAACAGCAGATACCTCCTTCTTCCCAGTGAAAGGCTTTCTCACAACTGTAGAGGCAGATGAATCCTTCTGAATCTTTCCACTTTTAATGCCAGCTTCCACCCTTTCTCCGGTTAGTATTAACTCAGTAAATCCAGCAGATGATCTCCCAATAAAATGGTTGAAGAAAGGGCCCGATAGAGTGCCTAAGAACATATCCACCAACTCCCTTTCATACAGAGGGGGTTGCACTCTCCCAGCTAAATCTCTCCATTTCTGTGCGTAATCCTTGAAACCCTCATTTGAATCCATATCCATACTATGAAGTTAAGTATGGGTAGGCGCCAAATCTGCATTATACTGGTATTGCTTATAGAAAGTTGCGGCAAGATCTTCCCAGTTGTGGACGTCGACCCTTTCCAATTGGTAAAACTAATCGAGTTGTGTTCCAGATAGGCTATCTTGGAAAAAATGCACTCAAAGGTCTTTATCGGCAGAGTGCGGATGGATCTTTCTCACATAAGATCGGAGGTGCATCTTAGGACATGACACCCCATCATATTTTGCAAACAACGGCACTTTGAACTTCGGTGGGATCATAATTCCCGACACTAGCCCCAATTCTTCAAAGTCTAGACCTGGCACCCTCTGTATTTCCATAGTGTTCAGACGCTCTTCAAGATGTCTGTACTTATCATCTGCGGGGGGATACTGTTCCTCGGAGTAGTCTTCCTCCTCCTCAGATTCTGACGGAATCATTATTTCTTTCTCTTTCCTTCTCCTTCATCAGATGTTGCTGCGAAATTCAAGGTTCTTCTAGTTTGTCCTTGAAACCTTCTCCCCATGATTACAACACCGGTTGGTTTCTTCTCTTTCTTCTTCTTCTCTTTGGCCAACATAGTCTTCAATTCCTCTTGCCCCTTGGCCAGGGTCATGAGTAACTGTTGAAACTGCGTGTTTTGGACTTGGAGATCTTTGACTGTCTGTTCGAGATCCATCTTACTGAAATAAACAGTAGAGAGATGAGGAAACTCGTTGCAAAAAACCTATTTATGTTATGATGAATGATATGTACACATGCGATGCTTTCAAGGATTTTAAAAATATTCAAGTTCATTTTAGACAAAAAGAAACACACGTTATATTAATAAAATAGGGTTTGAGTACATCAACGCCCCTTGGGCTAAAATAATACAAAACTCTAAGATAAAAAGTAGTGTGCATCCTCTTTAGTGCAATGTAGGCATTTAGAATCCGCTCCTCATGAAGTAGCCTAGTGAGTTCTAAAACCTTCTTCTCGCTTGCGTAAAATTGGGCTTCGAAAGTATCTCGCTCTCCTTTGAGCTATATACAATCCCTTTGTAGGTCTTCAGGAGATGCGGGCATGTCAGGATATAGGATAGTGTATGGAACTTCTCCTTTCTTAACAGGCTCAATGATCACCGGGAGAATGGAAGGATAAGGCATCATAAGACTTTGAGCGCGGGTTTATACCCACTTGAGGTAAGGCTCAAGAGGGATGGAATTATTGTGTCCTAAAGTCTTGCTATCCACCTTGTTTAGCATCCTCCAAGCTCGGATGAATCTCTGGCGAAGACCTTGATCGTCGTTGTCATAGTCAAATACCAAGCCTTGAATCAACATCTCATGTGGGCCATCCCTTCGGGCATAACCAAATTGTCTTAGAGCTAAGCATGGGTTGTAGGTGATGTCTCCCCTAATTCCAAGTAGTGGAACATTAGGGAATTCCCCACAACAGTCAACAATGATAAAATTCTCTTTGGATCGAGAGCACCAATGAATATCTGAATGTTTGAGCGTCATTAACCTTTGTGACCACCTCAAACCTTGCTTATTCTTTAAGACTGATTGGGAAAGATGAGAAATAAACCATCTTGCCAGGAGAGGAGTGCAACACATAAGGACACCTCTTTTCCTCATTGTGCGAGTGTGAAAAGAGTGTAGGATATCCCCTAGCAATGTAGGCACCAGATTGCGTGACGTGAAGATTTTGATGGCACTCACATCTATGAGTTAGTCATTATTGGGAAACAAAACCATCCCATATATGAGGAGAGCCACAATTTCCTCAAAAGCTTGCAAGTCTAAGGAATTCCAACAGCTTTGGGCTTTCTCAAACAGAAACTTTGCTAAGAAGCCTTTGACACCACTTCTAGTTTCCCAATGGGTTATGACATCAGATGAGTGCAAGTGCAGAGCTTGAGCAATCTCTTCTGGCTTTGGATCTCTTTCCGTACTGTTGAAAGGTAGTTGATTGAGAATGGGAGTCCTCAAGAGTTTAGAGAATTCTTCCAAAGTAGGCATAAGCTGATAGTCATGGAATGTGAAGCAATGGTGCAAAGGATCAAAGAACTGGAAGAGCACCTTCATCATATCCTCATATGTGTTGGAGGTGATAAGGTTGAGTAGACGACCATGTCTCTCGGTGAATGGAGAGTTCTCAGGGATCCTTGAAGCTAGCTCCTTGAGTTGCGGAGGAATTCTTACAAGGTTAATTTGGATAGTTTTTTCTGCAGAGTGAATCCATATCCTACAAAACAAGAACAAAGATGAATCTCTTAAATCCTTGAAATGGTTAGTAAATGCATATTATGTTCATGATGTCTATGATGTTCATGATGTTATGTACAAGCATGTATATACAAGCAAAAAAAACAAGTTCTTAGTTCAGGCTTGCATGGGGTTTTATAGGTAAGTACCCTCTTGAAGTTTAGTTGGCTTAAACCTGTCCTAGTAATAGTAACAGGTTCTAAGGAGCTCAATATCACCGGATTATTTCCTTGGTCATTGTTTCAGCTCAAGCCTCTTTAATGGCGACCGAAATATCCCAAGAAACCAACCCTCAATGAGTGTAGTATCGAGTATCTACCAACTTCGGACTGCACCAAAGTCGGTCATCTCACTACATCCTAAAGGCCAAGTTAGTCAAGTAAAGGGTTCTAGAAGTTCATTAGTGCTTCATGACATCACTCAGCGGCCCTGTATTCTCTTTGATTGACTCAAAGGCTACTGG